TACTTTTTTTCCTTTTTTAAGTTTATTTATTTACTTTTGAGAGAGAGAGAGACAGACAGACAGACAGAATCCGAAGCAGGCTCCAGGATCCAAATTGTCAGTACAGAGCCCTATGCGGGGCTGGAACTCACCAACTGTGAACTCATGACCTCAGCCGAAGTCAGATGCTTAACCGACAGAGCCATCCAGGCGCCCTATATTTTGTTTTCAAGTAACAAACCAAAATATAAACAATATAAATTTCAAACAATGGGGATTAGTTAAGTACACTGATACATCTAGCTGATAGAATGTGTTTCTTAAATTTTTTAAAATGTCTTTTTACCTATTTTTGAGAGAGGGAGAAAGAGACAGGGTGTGAGCGGAGAGGGGCAGAGAGAGACAGAGATACAGAATCTGAAGCAGGCTCCAGGCTCTGAGCTGTCAGCACAAAGCCTGACGGGGGTGGGGGGTGTAGGGGGGTGACTAGAACCCTCCAATGGTAAGATCATGACCGGAGCCAAAGTTGGCCACTTAACCGACTGAGCCACCTAGGCATCCCTAACTGATAAAATATCATACAGTTATTAAAATTCATGTCAAAGAATAGAAATTTACCTAATAATAATATGACATATTATGAAACATGATATTGATTATGTCAATAAAAATATTGGATGAGGCAAATGCATGGGGAAACATTTAAAAGTATATTTACTAAAATATGGAGAGTGATTATCTCCAAGTACTGGATTACAAGTGATTCATTTTGTCAGAGCTACCATTGCTGGACATAGCTCACAGTCTGCCATCCAATCACAAGGGTAAACAACTGATACACTTACAACCATTCTGTACCCATGCAACCATTCTGTTCTTCATTTTTAGTACAGAATTCAATGAATTACATGAGATATTCAACATTTATTGTACAATAGGCTTTGTGTTAGATGATTTTGCCCAACTGTAGGCTAATGTAAGTGTTCTGAGCATGTTTAAGGTGGGCTAGGCTAAGCTATGATGTTCAGTAGATTAAGTGTATTAAATGCATTTTCAACTTAAATGATATGTTCAACTTACAATGGGTTTATCAGGATGTAACCCCATTGTAAATTGAAGAAGATCTATACTATGCCCAGAGGCTCCTTATTTCTTGATTTTTTTGTTTGGAGATAATAGATTTCTATTCTGCTCAGTTTATTTGAATTGGTATTTTCTGCTACTTCCAAGTAAATGCGTCCTAATTGGTGTAATTGGAAAAGACAGAGTTCAGCAAACTTCCTGTAGATAATTTTGTCGTAGCACAACTACCAGGGAGGAGGGAAGAATCAGGACCTAAAGGCTACCCAAAACAAAAAATGATCTAAAAGTTGAGGAAGTGAGGAGTTGGCAAAAATACATTTTGGTGAAACCTTCTTTGATCAGAACGTGATAAAAGGAATTAAGCAGTTTTCTTTTACATCTAATTAAATAATCGCCATTTCATATTTTTCAAGTTTTTCTTCTAGAAAAAAACTTGAGTTTTGCTTGACAAAAATGTTCAAAACAATACAATTTTTGGTTTTCAAAATTTTAAAGTGACTCATGTATTAGTCTCTAAATTTTACTCTTCTCTAAAGTCTTCCAGTACATTTGTTTTTTGTTTTT